ATAGAACAAATATTAATGTGTTCTGTAAAAAGAAGAGGCGGCTTAACTCGAGGACGTGGACTAACATAAAATGTCAGAACACTTTGGGTGCTTAGTTTAAACTCCAGTACCGAAACCATGACAACCTAACAAGATGTGATATAGAACCAAGCAAACAACACAAAGAAATGGGGTTAGCAAGACATGCGAAGGATAGTTATCACCGAAGCTAAAATCAGACGTCGAGACAAAAAAAACACTGGATGCATTGCATAATGTAATAAAACTAAAGGAAGGCAGCTTAATACATGTTAACCCAACCATTCTGTTCACAAGATTTGCTGCAATTACTATAAGAGATGACAATGTTAAACACTATTTTATTTATGAGTTGATTACCACACCTCTTGCGTTATTTAAAAACGGATTAATGAGGAAACCAGATAAATCATCACTGCAGAAATTACTTTTACCTAAAGAATCTCAATGAAAAGTAGATGAAATAAAAACAAAGTTTGTCAGATTTGTAATCATTGGGGGAGCTTTAATACATTGAGTAAGATGGGTAAAATGATTAAATTTTGGCGATATTTAAGTTGTAGCCAACATACATCAAACGCAATTATGGTGTAGTAAGTGTCAATTTTGATGGATATGAAACGTTTTCAACTAAATCAAATGAGCATGCTAGAAAACAAGAAGGAAAAAATAATCATCTGATCAATGTACATGATGATAATACATTACTGTTTGGCCAGGAGCGCTTTTTGTTATCCCAACAAAACAAAGTACGTTTCATTAAAAAATATCTTATGGCTGAAGGGCGCAAAGTAAATATATGCCCAGGTCCTGTTGATACAAAAATCGTTTCAAACGTTTTACAGCAAGAATTAAATAGCGAAGTTACAGTTGCAGCTGATGACACCGAAAGGCTGTTATGCTTTTGTATCATTGGAGAGAAAACATGTATAATATCTTTTTCATGCCTGGAAAGGGTAATCATCTCTGGAGCATCAAAGAATTAACTCACACAATCATTGAGTTTAAAAAGTACTTATTATTTGTACATGCATGGTCAGGGTGTGATACCACCTCTGCAACATACGGAAAATGAAAACCCAGCTTTTTAAGTCTTCGAAAAAAATCTAATGAGCTCCAAGAAATATCACAGTTAATGAAAATCTTTTGGACAGATAAAGATGCAGTTAGTAAAGCAGCAATTTTGGCTTTTAAAGTTATTTACAACAGAGCACTAGTTGAAAGATTGACAAAATTAATTAAATTATTTTACTAAATGTTATTAACTTACATAATCTACATTTTGTACTATGAAACTAAGCTATTATTAATTATTACAAAGATGTTCTACTAGCATTATATTGCACATCTTAAGGTGTCTTAAGTACGTTTCCTCTTGTGGTGGTTGTCAAGGAGAAAGCTGTCGCAACAAAGAGGTAATTTTAATATTACTAAAACATTACGCCAATTATTGACGTAATTTGTTACCATTTTTTAATATGATAACAGCATTCCATAATTAAATTGTATTATTTTATAGGAAAAACTAACTTTGAAAATGCAGGATGATAGTAACAACGATTCCTAATACTTTGACGACACTGATGACATTGAAACATGTTTGAAGATTTAATTGAATAATTTTTACTTATGAGTTAACCATATTGTTTTAAATAAATTTATTTTAGATTTTATCTCATAACATGATTTTGTTAGTAGATACTTAATAAATAATAAGTACATACTAAATAAATAATAAAATCAATAATTACTGAAGAATCTTATTACTTTCCATGTTTTGTATAATTTGTTTCATAGGCATAATAAATTATATTCTCTAAACAAATTGTTTTAACCCATAGTTTTTATATGAATATGAATCAGCATTAAATTATCTTTCCAACGGTATATAAAAAGTACATTTTTGAAAAAAAAAGTTTTTTATCATAACAATTATTAAACTTTTTTAATTAGGCCCAAAAGAACACATTCCGGTGCTCCAAATGAAGAGGCTTTTTTTTTGGTGACTTATCATATCTTTATGTTCACTTGTACAAAGTTTCAACTTATAGTATTTTATTCCTGGTTGTATCCGAATTCTACCGGACTAGAATAAAGGTTTTCCCTCTCAGAGACTTAAGTTAAATGAAAAATCAAAACTGCGGATTAAGTTTAAAGAAAATCATTACATAAAAGTGTTTAAAATCTCCTTAATCTGTTTTATAAATAAATTTAGCGTAAAGTAATTTATGGATGGTTCCTGGAATTCTGGATTAATTATCATAAATTATAGATGATTCAAACAAGAATTATAAAACGTGTAGGAAAGGGATCTTTCATAAATTACGCAACTCTAAATTTCACTAATAAACAAAGGGATCGTCCATTAACTAGACAATGCTAAATTTATAAAAATAGAAGTAGAAGATCTTTTAATTGTCGTAAACCTTTTTACTTTGAATGTTTTTAACAAGCTTTCACTTGCTCTTCCTTCACTCTTGGCAACATTCGAAATTCAACAAAATGAATATAAGGGGCTAAGATTGATTCTTACATAATTCAAATTCAAAATAATATTTAAATAAAAGGATTTTGTATAATATTAATTTAAATGGGGTTGCGTTTTTTGTAAAAGCAAAACCTATTCAAAAACGCCCTGTTTCGTAATAAAATTTACTAAAAACAACAGTCTAGTTTCACAGTAATTTATTATTGCTAAAATAATATAATATTACTTCATAACAAACACCCATTTAGTATTTTATTTCTTTTACATGAGTATTTTTAAAGTGGACAAGCATAAAAAAGTCTCATTAGTATCAAATTTATTTACAGACTATGCAAGTGGAACTTCTTTACATTTTTGAAAAAAAAATCCTCAAAAGAAATATTTTTAACAAGGTCATAAGTACTTTTTTTTCCTTTTGAGCCTGCTTTTTCCTTGAAATCAAGATGAAAAATTGTTAAACTTCATTAATTACTGCTCGGCATACTAAAGTTACAACTACCATCTGGAAAATGATTGAAGATGATACTTATATCTAATGGGTAAATCCCATATTTCTTTCAAAACCACTAAACTACTAAGTTGCTGATTACCTTTTGATTTTAACAAATATAACGATTATAAGTAAATAAAAAACAAAATAGATTTATTTTTTGTGATTGTCTATACTTTTTTTAAGAGGTTTTCGATTAATCAAGAATTTTTCTCCTATATTTTTTAAGAGATCCAAAAAATGCAACATCAAGAGATTGCAATTTGTAAATTCAAATACCTTTTCACTATAAAAATTTCTTCCATTATAACTAATAAGAATGTTCCTACAATTTGACAAAAAAATAATCAATAACAAATCAGTCAATATATATGTCTGTGCGTATATATGCACACACACACACATATATTTATATATATATATATATATATATATATATATATATATATATATATATATATATATATATATATATATATATATATATATATATATGTATATATATATATATATATATACATATATATATATATATATACATATATATATATATATATATATATATATATATATATATATATATATATATATATATATATATATATATATATATATATATACACACGAATACAAATGTATATATACATATGTATACCTACATATATATATACACACACATTATATATATAAATACCACTTCAACGGCTTGGTTTAACAACTCTTGAAGAACGCCGCAAAAGAGCAGATCTTATCGAGCAATTCAAAATCATTCGTAAACTCGAGCTTGTCAGTTTTGTCGTCCCGCAAAAATTTTCAAAATGTAAAGATAAGTATATTCTAAGAGGCCATAGTCATAAACTAGAACGTCGATAGTAAAAAACTGTGAAGAGCGATACAACTTTTTTTCAAACAGAATTGTTGCCCCATAGAATGCGCTTTCGCAAGAAGCAGTAAACGCTCAATCCATCAACGCTTTCAAAAATAACATAAGAAAGTAATTTTATATATACAACTGCTGCTTTGTCTGTAGCGTCTGTCTCTCCATGTTCGTCAGCATAGAGGGGCCTGGTGTAGCACCTCTTCATCAAATTATAAATGGATTATTGTGTTTGTATTTGATCACTGAAATAAAGAAATAAAAAAAAAATACACACATATATATATGCATATATATATATATATATATATATATATATATATATATATATATATATATATAAATGCAATGTATACACACCCAGACATATAAACACACACAGAAACAATGTGTGTTTGTGTGACTTACTGTTTATACACATGATGTTTTAATTTTTAATCACAATAATATTATGTTCAATACCTATTTATTCATGTATGAAAAAGAAAATTTTTAAGTTGTTTCATGTTTTTGACTATTTATGCAGTGGAGCTACTTTTAATGTTATTCAAAGTTATGCGAAAAAATGTATGGGAAAAAAAATATTGTATACATTTTTTTGCCTACTATAGTTATGCTCTGTTGAAAAATGTATACAACAAAGTATATAATGCAATTGCAATTGAGCATAACTATAGTAGGAAAAAAAACTTCTTTTGATTAATAAATTTGCTTAATAAATTTATAAACAATATTTATGCAACTTAGACAACAAGCTGCTACACTAGCTGAGGCTGTGTACAAAGTATTGTAACTAATTTTTTTGAGAAAAATTCCGAAATATTTAATTCATTTTTTAAGGAACAATAACAACCAATAAACAAAATAAAACTTTAAATAATTAAAATATAAACTATTTTTAATACTTTGATGTTTGAGGTTTGAACAGTTTCATATTAATTCTTGTCAGAATTACAACTTAAAAAAAAAAAGGTTTGTATTCAAAATTAAAAGCTAAACCCGCTATTTATAGTAATACCAGTTTTCGGTATTAAAAGATTAAAAATTAAAAAATAAAATAAAATAAGTTCTATACTAAGTAGTAATAAAAGTAATAAATAAATTATTGTTTTAATTTCTTATTTTAAATTTAAAAACAAAACAAAAAAGGTATGAAGATAAATATGCGTTAATTATAAAAAAATATTACAAACAGACGCAAGTCGAAGTATTATGTGCAAACGTTTTAATAAATGCTATTTTGAAATTTCTTTCAAATGTTTAAAAAATAGATGTGCTACAATTTTTTTCGTTATTGCGTAGATTATTTCTTTGTAATTAACAAAAAGGTTATAGTTTTGACGTCATCTATGTTTCCAAAACCATAGTCTTCTGTTGGATAGGTTGGAAGCTTTTCTTTTTCCGTGCACAAAGTCCACCAAATTCCACCTGACTTACATTGTTGAAATTTCGAAGCAATGTTTATTTGCTTGTTATTAAAATCTCCAAGAGTTCCTAAAAATATAAACGAATGATAAAACAAAGTTTTTTAAAAGGAAAATTCAAAAGGTTTCTTTAATTATAAACTTAGTGAAGAAAAAAATAATGTCCGTTTTTTTTTAAGTAGGGTAGAAAGTGAGGGCTAAACAGCAATTCAATTAGTTGTCAAGTTTTTTCTTCTAACAAAAAGCTGAAAAATACATTTCTCTACTACAACATTTTTAGATGACGCAAAGAATTTGGTTTTGTGTGGTTTTGTTTTTAATCTTAAAGCACAAATACTGTGAAATAATTCAATTAGTAACAATAATGTTCTATTAAAAAAAAACAAAAAAACATTCTGCATAAAAAATATAAGCTAACAAAAAATAATTTTTATAACATTTATAAATTTTTAAATAATAAAATTTATAACAAGGAAAATAACAAGATAAATGGTTTATTATTTCATACATTTATACACCAATAAATTATATCGCTTAAATAATTGAGATTATGTTAAACATAAATTGTTCCCAACATTTAAAAAAAAATTTATTTTCTCTGTGTTTGCACTTTTTTTTTTTATCAAATATTTTTTTTTATCAAACTTTTTAATATGCTTTAGAAATTTTTGCTTTAATAAAACCTTCTCTTAAAAATAACCCGCAGAATACTAGAGATAACCAAATAACTAGTTTATGTAACTTGACTGCTCTTTCTGCAGCTTGTGGCTCAGAAAGTCTAAGTTAATAGGTTCTCCATAAGTTAATAGGTTATCCATAAAAGTTAAACAAGGTGATTTCTTAATAGCTATTTTATGTAAATGTCAAAAGCGCCCATGTTCAAATCAAACCTAAAAACGTCTTAAAAACATCTGCCTCAGATTATTTACAAAAATGTTGCTAAAACAAGTGATCACCCTCTTCGACTATTGTTTTTAGTCAGACCTTTTGTGAGAAATCTTAGGAGTTCAGTTCTTTGATAGTAAGACTACAAAATAAACTTCTAAATATGTTTACGACCATTCAAGTATGAAGCTTTTAAATTGATGTTAGAACAAACAGATGCATATACTTTAGAAATAAAAAATAGAAATTGATTTATTTAATAGATAGAATATGAACTTTTTTAGTAGAAATTTTAGTTGCTACGTATAAGTAAAGTATTCAATTTACTATGTAAGCCATCTGGAATTGACAAGTTTTTCAAATCTAAATGAAATGAGCAACCTTCAATAGATAATGCAATACTCATTTCCATTACGTAGTGTAATCTGTATTTGTAATAACTATCATTTTCTAAAAAGAAAGGCTATTTTTAAAAGGTAAATATACTGTCACAGAAAACTTATTACAGTTACCTGTTTTGCAGTTTCTTATTTAGTTCTCTTAAAACTTATTGTGACCGCAAGTTTTTATAGCTAAAGAACAAATAAAGTGGCGTGAAAGTCTTCATGGAATCGTCAAACTAAACATTGCAGTGGTTTTTCTAAATTACATCCAGTATTTACAACATTTTCATCATATTCTGTCACGGTAAAGTTCATTTATCAACCCAAAAGTGTTACATTGATTGATTGCTGAAAAAGAAGAAGTTATTAAAATAATAAACTTGTTGAAGATGTTTTTTTAACAAAGTCTTCCCAAAAAGAATTACTTTTAATAGTATTGCCGAATAGAAAAAAGGTTCATAAGATTGTTTGATACGAAGCTCTTAATCCAGCTCTTTCCTTTGTTTCCTGTATTCTCCATTTGAGGGTTGATCTTTTATTCTTTTCTGTAATGGAGTAAATAACAATGACTGGATGAAATTGAGTGATCTCATTAAAAATCATTGAACAACCCAATTTATCAATGTCATTATCTCAATTGGGAGAAATTGCGCTCATCTTCTATTATTCATTAGGGGTTTTGAGTTTGAAAGAACACTGGGAAAAAAGTTTTTAAATTGCTTAAGAAAATTTGTGAGATCAAAGAATGATCTAGTTTTTCTTTTTGTTACAATCTCCAGTTAATTATTATTGTAGTAGTAGTAGTTATCCTTATTTGACAACTTTTAGATGATCTTGGTTGCATTCGCTCGCTTTGAAACGATACTTTGGCTAAAGTAAAGCTAGTGGCTAAAAATGGAAATATTGACTTTGAAACAGGATTTTTAGTAAAACACACACGAAGATTTTGTTAGAAATATTATTAATTACTTTCGAGAATCCATTACAAACAACTCTTTCCCACGGCAATTAATTTGTAAAATAATTATATTTAACGTGGCACCTAGACCGCCTAATATCACAAACTTATCGAAAATTCAAAGTTGTAAAAACGGTTAATGCTAAGTTTTCCTTTTTCAGGCTTTCATCTGAAAATCCCTCTTTACAAGATTACAGGTTTTAATAAGCTGATTATAAAGAGCTGTAATAAGCTCTTCATATTTTAAAAAGCTGATATATCATCTTTTTATAATTTATATATTATATCATAATTTAAAATAAGTTAAAATCTTTTTATAATAATAATAAAAAACAATTTGAATTAACAATACAAAACATACAAAATTACAAAGTATTTTTAGTATATGTATAAATTAATGTTATTATTTAAAAAAATTGTGGTAGCCATAGCTACCACACTTTTATTAACATAACTCTTTTTACGCAGAGATGACATCATGCAAAAAAAAATTGCTGAAAAAATTTTACCAAATATTGTTTACGCATTTTGACGAAAGTAAGACTAATCAACTTGGATCCAACATGTCATAAAAATAAAAGGGGGTTCAAGCAATCCTACTAAAAAACCCTTTGTCTATATTCTCACCTTGTTGTTTTCATTATTTGAATTTGTGTGGACATAATGCTGCCTCAAGGTGTACAAATACTGATACTTTCTCTGAAACTGTTCATATCATGTATAAGATTTTTATTGCTAGTCCAAAACTCTGAAAATAATTGCAAAGGAGGCTCCACCGTGTGTCTTTGCATGGGCAATGTGGAGCGCAATGGACTTAGAACCTTGAAAGCATTTGCTCTTTTTCTAATCAGCCAAATCATTGAATTTTTGGAAGGAATTTAGAGCTTGAACCTCAGGCCTAAAACAAAAATGAGAATAGAAGCGCTAAATGTGTTTTCATTTAAATAAACATTTAAATTTAAATTTTCATTAATAATTTAAATGTTTTTATATCTTGAATTTGGATAAAAATTCGTACATTAATTGATTGCTGCAACCAGGTCATTTAGACAAAAAAAGCAACTATTGGTATTGAGGTTAAAAACAATAAAACATTGATCAGTTAACTGAAATCTGCTTTGGAAGAACAATCTACAATTTTTGAAGAAGAAAAATTAGCTGCGTATACTGAAAAAATTAGTTCTGAATCCACCAAAAAATAAAACGGAAAAATTTGCTGAAGAGCGACCTGAAAGGAATCAACAGAATCAACAGAAACAGATTTTGGAGGCCACATTTCAAAGAATGGTTTTTTATAACATTCTTGATTTTGTGATTTGTAGACTCACTGGTTATTTCACAATTCAAAAAATTCTTGTAGTATCCTCTTTTTTGTAATAATGTTAAAAACCGGTAGAGTGTGGTGAAGTGAGCATAAGGAGCCCCGAGTATCTTTTTACTTGGCCCCCAATTTAAAGGATGCTTGGGTCCCCCAAGTTCAGTACACGACCCTAATCTCCGCATAGTAAAAGTTATGTTCAAAAGCTTATAAAGAGTTGAGGTCAGAGAGTTAAAACATATTTGTCTTATTTATTAATTTTAAAATTTCATGAAAATATTTATATTTATTTAAAGTACACTATGAATATGGTTACTTTAAACAAAAACTTATCGTTAACTAAATATTCTAAAAAAAATTACGTTTACAATTTTTTTTTTAGTGGTTGAGTTATGACATTTAGCTTTTAGCTATTAGTAATATAAGAAAACAATTTTAATATATTTTTAGTTTTATAAAACTATTTTATTCACTACTTCTAAAATTACAACTTTTTAGTAGTATTTTTCTTCTATAAAATTCTTATACTATGTAAACATTGCTAAAAAGAATAAAAAGTGGTATAACATTAAAAAAAAATTAGAACAATAATTTGCTCCGTGATCTTATTCTTATATATCAGACTCAGATGAAAATAATAAAAATAAAATATCTGTACAACCACGGTGTTGAGTCTGACGTAAATATTATAGTTAAAGACTAAGAAAATAAACAAAAAACTAACGAAACTGAATTTTTTAATATCTCGTCAAAGTATGAAAAGCATATCTCTGACAACGTAAATATTTGGACCATTATACTTATTTTAGGATATTTTGGAAAAATAAGCTAAATACTTTAGTTCTAGAGCAAATTTTAATGGTTTTTTAAAATGGTTTTTTAAAAATGGTTTTTTAAAAATGGTGTTTTCAAACAAAATGTGTTTTTAAAGCACTAAGGTTGAACAAATAATTTTTGTCCAAAAACAAAGTATAGCGAATATTTCCATTACTACCTCAAAAAACCTCAAAAAACCTGTAAAATTTAGGTTTAAAAATTTTGTACGATCTGAATCATCAGGAGTTTTTTATAATTTTTTTTACCAAAAAGCCAAAATTTTGTTAACTTGTCTTTGATAATTGTTTTTTTTTTTAATACGGTTGATTTATTCAAAAAATATATATTCAGTAACAGCAACGCAGGGATCAGATAACGAAAATTTATTAATTGCTAGATGAAAAAGATTCTAGAAAAAATGAAGTTTTTATTGTTGCAGAGGTAGAGGTAGCCACAATTTTTCAGTTGATGTTAAAAACGGCTTAATTGTTATTCAATGGTTTAGTAGATGCATTCATATGATTACTAACAATTGTGAACCACAATCGATTAGAAAGGCAAAATAATGGAACCAAAAACATACGCTGTATGTTGTACTGAATTTCCCAAATATAGTTCAGGAATATAACAAATCAATGTGTGATGATGGTCTGTCAATTAAAACAAAATCAAAGTTTTTCAAGGTCTTATTTTATTGCTTTGATATTACCTATTGACGTCATCACAAGATATTGTTTTTACGATTTTTAAACGAATTTATAGATATATTTTATAGATCTATTACTTTATTGTTATTATTTTGTGCTAAATAAAACACCCATGAAATTCTGTATGTGTGTATGTGTTTTATGTGATAAGAAAAGGAAGGATTGCATACCTGCATACCTATCAAAACTAGTATTTCACTTAGAGATTATAAATCCCCTAAATATAAGCAAGATGTTATATATTGTTTTTAAAATTAGTTTACACATGTTTTTTTTTAAACAAGCTGTCTCTTCTAATTATTTATGTTTATTCCATAAATGTTTATAGTGACCATATGGTAAGAGATCTTCCATAAAGTACCTAGGCCAAATATTTAGAAATTTGAACCCATCCCCTGTTGCTACACGATTTTTATGTCCTTTTCTCTGATAGTTAATTTAAAAAAATTTAATTTAGGAAAAATTTGTTTATAAATTAAAATTCTTTTTTTAAATTAGACCGTGCGTCCTTTAAAGTTAATCTCCCTTTCCCCCCCCCCCTTCCTTCTCCTTTACTTTACTGAAAACTTTTTGCAGATACCTCTTCCCTCTAACCTCCCTTCAATACTTTATACAATCTCATAGCTCTTGGTTTTTTCCAATTTTAAAGCCAATCATACACACACACACACACACACACACACACACACACACACACACACACACACACACACACACGCACACACACACACACACACACACACACACACACACACACACACATATATATATATATATATATATATATATATATATATATATATATATATATATATATATATATATATATATATATATATATATATATATATATATATATATATAAAACGTACTTTTATATTGAACTCCCGTTTTTCCCAGACGTTTTCGAACGCTATATGAAGACCCCCCTATAGGCGTACGTACTTTATGGATAGCCCATAAACATTTATATTCACAAAATTGAATATAAATGTTTAGGGGCTATCCATAAAGTACTGCATTTTAAGTAAGTAAGGTATGATTGCATGCCGTTTTCTGTCTTCATTAATAGAAAATTATTACGCATTTTACAAAATTATTATTTGCAGTATAAAATATAACTTTTTTAATTAAACAAATTTGTACATGATTAATTTCAGAATACTTACTTGCTTTATTTGAATCAAATTCACTGTAAGTAAACGTAAAAACACCTGATATTTTCTTTAGTTTAATATTACGGTAGTATACAGTCACGGTATCGCTCATTGACTTTGTAACCATAATAACTTTCATATCTAATGTGAACTTATTACTAATACGTTCTAGTTGGTATAATCCTATCCAATAGTTATCTGCCGTGTAAAAGCCTTTGAAATATTCTTCTAACGTTTTATCCCAGAAACTAGGTTCAGTGTTTGCTTCCCTGTGCATCATTACAGTCATCGCTAAATAAAATAGTATCATACATCAATTTTGAGCGAAAAAAAATAATACAAAACAGTTTGTGCTATTTTTTTATCCAAAAGTTTTAAAAAGTATGGCACCTTAATACATTTAAACCCTTAATAACTAAATCCTTAATAAATTTAAATCGTAAAATTTGTTTTTGTAAATTTAATTCCTAAATTGTGAAAATTCGCTTTTTTTTAAAAATACGATATTACGCCTTTTTCCTTATAGTTAACTCTCATCAGTACTTTTAATTTTTTTTCTATTTGTAACCGTTTCTATCCACAACTATGCAGCATTTAGTTTTGGTTTTTTATTTGGCTAGCACATAGTACTAAAATAAACTTTAAACAAATAAAGAACTAAATTAAATGATCGCAGATGTTGTTTGAACATATTTAAAATTTTTTTTAAGTTTATAATAATTTAACTTGAATTTTTTAATATTGTAAAGTGTTTTACGAATGTTTAAAAGTTAATGAACATTTATTGAGCATTTTAAACCCTAACCCTAACCCTAACTGTTATTATTATACAAATAATAGGGGTCATGGCAAAAACATCCGTTTTTGCCATGTATATTAACATCCGTGAAACAACAAACGAAATTTTATCGATGTATAATAACATCCGTGCAACAACATCCCAAATTTCATCGATGTATACTAACATCCGTGCAATAACATCCCAAATTTTATTGATGTATAATAACATCCGTGCAACTACATTTGTAGATTTTTCGGATTACATCCGAATTTTTTTTTTTTAAATGCATAATTTTAACCAGATGTAGTTACGCATCTGATTTTTTTGGATGTAACTACATCCGCCAAAAAAAACTATTGTAATGCATTATTTTAAGCATAATAAATTTTTTTTTTGTTATTATTATTTGATAGACTTCCTGCCCAAACCTAATCCTCGGTGTAGCAGCACTTCGTTGCGAGTCAGGCTATTTGTCACTCGATGTAGCAGCACTCCGTTGCGTGTCAGGCTATTTGTCAGTCGATGTAGCAGCACTCCGTTGCAAGTCAGGCTATTTGTCAGTCGATGTAGCAGCACTTGTATAATATAATAATTATATATGTAATTTATAAATATAACTACATCCGTAATTTTTTATTTATTAATGCATTATTTTAACCAGATGTAGTTACACATCTGATTTTTTTCGGATGTAACTACGTCCGAAAATTTATTTTATTTAATAATGCATTATTTTAGGCGGATGTAGTTACACATCGAGTAAAACTCTTGGATAAAGTTACATCTTTTTAAAGATGTTATTAGACATCAATGAAATTTCGGATGTTGTTGCACAGATGTTAATTCAGTAAAGAAAAAAAGCGGATGATCTTACACAAAAATGTGCGGATGTTATTTCAATACTCTACAGGTGTAGTAATCTTTTCCCAATAATAGCGCTAAATATGAGATTTTTTTAAAAAAATTATCTTTTTTTTTGCAAAACATTCTATTGAAACATTTGACATACGCACGAACATGTTAAACTTTACAGTTTATACAACAAATAAAAGTGCCCTATCTAGAGCACCAAAAATTCCAGTCTACGCCACTCCATGCGAGTGGCGTAGATTGGAAGACTTAAAAAATAGAAACGCGCAATTATTGCGTAATTATTTTGACTAGCCAAATAAGTATTGTAAATATTGTAATAAAGAACAAACACAAAAAAAATATATAGAAATAAGGTATAAGCAAGTCATTGGGCGTATTTATATATTTTTTTGATATTTTAAAGACATTTAGATATGAATTGAGGAAGTTATAAATATTTTTTGTTAAAAATAACTAAACTTATAAAACAATTTCTTCAACAAATTTATATATCTTTTTGTTGAGTTTGTTTGTTTTTTTTCACTATGACTTTACCATTAAAATATCGAAGCTAATGATACATAACAATTTTTAGATTGTTCTTTGTAGAATCTATAGTTTGTTTAAATCTTCAATCATGAGGCAATCATACTTTTGATATTAGAAATCGTTTCTAACAATTCATACAAATAAAAAATTTTTTTGTTTTTATTTTTACTTATTCAAAACACAACCAAATAAAAATTTATACAAAAAGGTTATTTTGATTTATTATTAGATTAAACATTAATTTTTAAATAACAAAATGAAATTTGTTTGGTGAATATCTTGACAAAAAAATTTCATAGAGACATAGATAGGGCTCTTATGGTAGCAAAAAGTTTAGCAAAAATAAGTTAAAACTTTAAAAACCCTTAAAATTGATGCACATTAACAATAATTAGTCATTATTAACTTGTACTTTTGTGTATTTTGTTTGTGTATCTTGATTTATAGAGAGGCCCAGGACCTTAAAACATAGCAGGGGCCCGGGGGTAAATACCCCTAACCTCCCACTCGAGTCCGAACCTGCACGTGTGGTAAGCATATATTAGCCATATATTTACTACTCTCCTTTATGGGATGGCGTTGGTGCGTTCCATATGTGGCCATAATATTTATCCCTTTAAAACCACACTAAATAAGAACAAAAGCCGCATTATTTTTCTACAAGAAGGTTTTAACAAATACATTAAAAAATCTTCTGACTTGTTTAAATATCATACTTAAACAAGTCATTAGATTTGTTAATGTATAGAATATATAAATAATTATACATATATACCTATACAAATAAGTACCATATTGTACGTATAATTGTTTGTATAGGAATACTTGTTAAAAAATTTAAATGGAAAAACATCATACATTTTGCTTTTATTTATAATTTTATTCACCGATAAATATATACGTGCAACAGCTTTTCATTAAGTATAAAAAAATTCATTCTGTATTAGTTCTTTACACAAAAATAATCTGATGAATCATGCAATGAAGACGCAATATTTTTTTATATTTTTTATCTAGTATTCTTACAATGTCTTCAAACAGAAGCTAAAGATAGTTTCATAAGAAATCCATGTACAAACATAATCGAGAAAAAAAAATCAATAATGGCGAAAGCTTGCTTACACTGCCCGCCATTTTAAAATCTAACATCGTTTTCTGGTAGCAAACACAACGTATCTAAATATTTTCATCTTCGTTGAGTTTAACTCTGGTTACAGTTTTTTTTTCTTAACTCTGTTTAGAATAAGTATAATTTAAGTATAACTCGTTAAGTATAACTCGTTAAGTATAACTCGTTAAGTATAACTCGTTAAGTATAACTCGTTAAGTATAACTCGTTAAGTATAACTCGTTATGTATAACTCGTTAAGTATAACTCGTTAAGTGTAACTCGTTTAGTATAACTCGTTAAGTATAACTCGTTAAGTATAACTCGTTATGTATAACTTGTTAAGTATAACAACAATTTTTAATTCGTTAAATCTGATTTAAAAATTTATTGAAAGTTTGTTTTGAATAAAATTTTTTAAATATATTCATTACAAAATCGCTCTAACATACATACAACTATAAATTTAAAATTATCAAAACTGTAAACCACTTGATATCATGGAAGATTCTAGAGTTTACTACAATGCATTGCAATGTAGTCGTAGTTTACAATTGGTTAAAATTTAAAACTCATAAAGAGACAAGATTATGTATTTTATATAGATGATGGCGGGTTAAAGATGGCGTCTTAGTTGAGCACGTGTCTTAAAATTTAAAACCCTAACCCTAACCCATGATGATATTTATTGCAATGTTTTTATCGACTCGTACGAAGTCATTAAAGATATTTTATTTCAAATTTTAAAATGTTTAATAAAACTGGGTATTTTCCCCGACAATCTTAAATAGCCAGAGTTTCACCAATATTTAAAGGGGTGATGCAACCAATGTTTCAAATTATCGCCCAATTTCAATTATATCTGTTTTTTCTAATATTTTAGAGAGAACTTTATATAATGCAGTTTTCAATCATTTATCTTCAAATAATCATTTATCTTTAAATATACTGTATCTAAATCAATACGGATTTAAAAAAGTAATTCAACCGAACACGCTATACTCCAAATTACCCGTAATATTTTAAATCTCAATATGCGTAAGGTGTTTTAATAGATTTATCAAAAACTTTTGATACCATTGACCTATTCAAAGAAATAGAGTAGAATTAGACGAAATATTTTAATGATTCTTCAAAGTTATTTAAGCAACCGTAAACAGTTTGTTTACAATATACAACTGTCTCTTCCAATTTATTAGATATAACATCTGGGATCCTTCAAGGTTCTATACTAGGACCTCTTCTCTTTTTAATTTACATTAATGATCTCCCTAAAGCCTCAAGTTTAATGACAGTCATGTTTGCCGACGATACAAATCTATTTTTATCTCATAACAACATAACAACATTATTCCAAAATATGAACATTGAGTCAACAAAAGTTTCTAACTGGTTTAAAATGAATAAGCTGTCACTAAATGTTGAGAAAACTAAATGGATACTTTTTCATCAAACTTCAAAAAAAAAAGCTACTACCTCCTGTGATGCCCTTATTTTTTATTGACAGAGTTCAAATTAAAAGAGAACAAACTACTAACTTTTTAGGAATAAATATTGATGAAAACCTTAGTTGGAATCACATTGATTTGTTGTGCAACAAAGTTGCTCGAAATATAGGAGTAATGTACAAAGGTAGAAATGCTTTAAATTAAGACAGTTTAACACAATTATATTTCTCTTTAATCCATTGCCATATAAATTATGCAAATTTTGCTTGGGGTAATACCAATAAATCTAAATTGCTACCTCTTTATCGTCAGCAGAAGCAGAAGTTGTTCCTCTTATCAATTTTAAAGATCGATTTGCTCATGCCTAACCATTATTATTTCAAATGAAAATTCTTAATATTTATCAGCTAAATATTTTTATTATACTTTGTTTTATGTTCAAGTAAAAAACCAACGAATCTCCAGTTTTTTTTCATAATCTATACACCTTAAAAGATAAAAATAAATATAACTTAAAAAATGATAATATAATTCGGCAGCCTTTATGTTTAACTAATTTTGGAAAGTCATGTATTTCATATTGAGGAGCTTTTCTTCGCAACAAAATAGTTTTTAAATTTTTTTTTTTTTTCCATGAATGGAATTATCTTTCATTCAAGAATAAACCAAAAGAAATTGTTTTATCTTTTGAAGACATGTTTTTATATTTTTAAATTCTTCTAAAAATGAATATGAAGTTTATAACATAAAGTAATATATAAATATAATATCTGATCCACAACTTATGTGTTTATGAAAACAGTACTTTTTAAAATATCTTTGTATTTATATAAAAGAGTATCAAAAACTTCTTTATTCCAATTTTATTTTTATATTATTACGAAATTTACGTTCTCGCTAGTTATTAATAATTTTTACTACGACATTGTTTTGTTTTTTTGATTCTATACTTCATGTTAATTTAATGTACTTAATATTCACGAGCGGTTCTCGGTGATAAGACCTGAAGGTCTTCTGCGAATCTCTGCGTTCTTTTTTTTTATATACTTCTTTTATTGTATAACAATTTTTATCTTAACTATCTTATTGTATAAACTATATTGAATATTCAAGGAAAGAATAAACAAAACAAACCTTTTAAACGTAAAAAATAATAATAAAGTCAAACACTTTCTAAATCTCCTCTATCAGCTCAATACTTTACTTTTAATTAATAAACCAACTCGCATAACGCGTCAAACTGAAACTCTCATAGGCAATATTTTTACTAATAATTTCTCGAAATAACACACTCAAAGCGGAATCATAAGACCTGATATAAGTGATCATTTCCCAATATTTTTCACACCAAATTCAATATACAAAAAAAATCAATCAAGGAATCACATAAATTAATAAGCTTTACAAAAAAAAGATAAAAATACCATTGAAACCTTTCGTAACTATCTATCACTAGTAGATTGGAATAAACTCATCAACTACAAAGACGCAAATAACACAGGTTTGCAAATAACACAGGTCTGCAAATAACACAGGTTTGCAAATAACACAGGTCTGCAAATAACACAGGTTTGCAAATAACACAGGTCTGCAAATAACACAGGTTTGCAAATAACACAGGTCTGCAAATAACACAGGTCTGCAAATAACACAGGTCTGCAAATAACACAGGTTTGCAAATAACACAGGTCTGCAAATAACACAGGTCTGCAAATAACACAGGTCTGCAAATAACACAGGTCTGCAAATAACACAAAAATTTATCAAAAATCGAAAAAGTTATCAAAAAAATTCCACCACGTAAGGTTTTTCTGAAAAACGCAAAATGTTAAGGGATTGCCTATTTTAGGGCGCGAAACGGGGTTTATTGTCAAAATATTTATTATTTTATTTATTAATTTATTATAAGATAATTTTATGTTTCGTAGGCTGAAACAAAACATTAAGTAACTCAAGAAGGTAATATTAGTCACCGTTGAATCTTATTTATATCGGCGTTTTTTATAGCAAGTAAGGAAAATCCCGATCTATACAAATGCCAAAATTCCCAAGGAGTTTCCCTTTCATTTATTTATTTTTGTTCCAACTTTCGTAACGTGCATTTCAAAAATGACTTCAAGAGGTTGTGTAAATTTTTCTGAGAGTTTTTGCTATATTTGTGGTGAATTTGTAGTAAAGAAACAACAAAGAAATATTACTGAATTTTTTAAAAAGTGTACTTTGCGTATTTTGGTGTGAAGATACGCGATCAGGACAAATCTCGGGCCCTGCGTGGAGTTTGTTCAGGGTATGTTGAAGGACTTAGAATGTGGTCAAAAGGTAAAGTTAAATCTTTTCGTTTTGGTGTTCACATGATCTGCAGAGAACCTCGAAACCACAGCGATGACTGCTACTTTTTTCGTGCAATGTGCAGGGGTAAAGTAACAAAAAAAATTTATCCAAACATGGAATCGGCACTCCGCCCAGTCCCTCACGGATCTGGCATTCCTACACCACAAGCACCTTAAAGCCTAGACGATTTACTATCATTAGAAAGTGAATCAGAAGAAATTTCTAGTGATGAGTTTCAAGCGACTCCAGTAGTCCTCAACAATTTTCTCAAGCTGAATTAAATAATCTGATCCGAGATTTAGGACTCTCAAAATAATCTGCTGATTTACTAGGATCTGCAAAAGAAAAATTTAATGACTCCTGGAACTTATTTTGCTTGCTATAGAAATAGATTAAAATATTTTGAGTCTTATTTTTCTCAATATGGTAAGCTGGTCTATTGTTCCGATATCAATGGTTTAATGTCCATGTTCAAAGTTCAACATATAGCTGAAAATTGGAGACTGTTTATTGATTCTTCGAAAAGAAGTATAAAAACTGTTTTACGTCACAACAAAAGCTGCTTTACTTCACAACAAGTACGCATCAATACCCCTTTGGTCACTCAGTGCATTTGAAGGAAACTTATTGTAACTTGGCATTGATCTTGGATAAATTAAAGTTCAAAGAATTTGCGTGGAGAGTTTGTGGGGATCTTAAAGTAATTTCTATGATACTTGAACAGCAAGGTGGTTACACAAAATTCCTCTGTTTTCTTTGTGAATAGGATAGTCGTGCTAAAGCTAACACTGGAATCAAAAATGGTGGCCGAAAAAAACATTGAAGGTCGGAGAGAAAAACGTGCACTTTAAATCTTTGGTTGATCCTAAAAAGGTCCTTCTACCACCACTCCATATCAAACTTGTCACGATGAAGCAGTTTGTTTGTTGTACAGAATATTATTTGGTACTAAATGATTATAAAGCCTATTGTACATAATGCGTTCTAGCAATTTAGAGACATAGTAAGACAGAAATAGGTCTGTAGTTTGAAACATTTATTTTTTCACCAGACTTAAAAATCGGTGTGATTTTGGCTAGTTTGGCTATTTTCTGGTATAATACCAGACGTTAATGAGAAATTAAAAATGTAAAACAATAAGGGTTCAATAATATCAAAAACTGATTTAATTACATTGACGCTAACTTTAGCTATGCCTGCACTTTTGTCATTTTTCAGAATAGAAAAATCATTACGCAACTCACTTATATTTAAATTTAGTTCTGTCGTGATATTATTTGTTGTTTTGAGGTATGTTTCAAATTTTATTCTACTTGATGGAAATATAGCCGCCAGATTTGGATAAATCTCAAGAAAAAAACAGTTTTTTTATCATAAATAAGTTTTTCATCAATTAACAGTTTTTGTGGCAAATTTTTTTTAATCAGTATATTTTTACCAATTATTTCTTTGTTTATATTTCAAGTTTTTTTTATTTCCATTAGTCTTTTCCAAAAGCTTCCATAATAAGATTTTTTTGAAAACTTCCTGTTTTTTTTAAACAAATATTTGTAGTTTTCGTATATTAATTCATTATGATGTGTTTTATGTCTTAGGTATTTTTTATTTAGTATTTTTTTTCTTAATGATTTAAATAAACTTTTTGTTAACCACGGATTTAAGTTTTATAGTTTAAATTTAGTTTAATTAAAGGAAATACTTTATTATATTGTTTACTGAAAAACGCGAGAAATAATTCGTAGGCATTATTTTTATTTTGTGTTTTATGTTTCAATTTTATAGTTACATTTATAGTCATTTATATAAATAAGTTTCTTACCTAAATATATTAGTTGTTTTTCCAACTTGGTAAGTTTCACAATGCAACTCATCCAGCCTTCAACCTTTGACTCAGTTTTAGCGTCAAGTGCGCATGAGCATTGTTGGATTTCATTTTTGTTGTAATACGACCAACCATTGAAGTTTCTTTTACTTAAAGATGAATAGCAATAAGTAATGCATGAAGAAAATGACGTAACCGTGTCCGATATTCCACCTTTAGTACTTTCAAATGGAATAAATGTATTATTTTTGAAGGTACAGTTTATATCTAAATTAAGAGTAAGTTTATTTAATTTTTACTAAACAGTATTTAATTATTAAAAATATTGAACAAGATGGTAATTATAAACTAACTTGTAATTAAGGATTTTTAAAAATTATAAATTTGTAACTAACTACTTAGTTATTCAATAAAAATTCAAGTTTTTAGATTATTATACACTGGTTAACATTAAAAAGTGTTTGTTAAGTTGTTCCAAGATGCTCTAATGATCATATCACAGAGAAGCACATAGGAGCATTAATTCAGAATATTTACGACTCCTACCTTACCAATATTGCTTCTTCGGCTACAGCAGGTGTTGAACCTCAAACATCTTGGTTATGAGCTAAACTTCTAGCCCCTGCATCACAGCTGCTACTAATATTAATATTATATATACATTTTAAACATATTTGATTTAGGTAAGATTTTACTGCATAAAGTATGCTAAAATATTTATAAGATTCGAGTTTTTTTAAAGTTTTTGAAAATATTTTTATCTTTGATAATGTTAATGAATATTATGTACTTGTTTTTGGTGAACTTGGGTTTCGTCATGTTTAATAATAGTTTATATTGTACTTGGTTTTTGTTATGTTTAATGATAGTTTATATTGTACTTGTGTTTTATGATAGTTTATTCGTTCTAAACCTTTAAGTTAATTTAAAAAGTTTTTAGTTGACTGTTTTAAATAGTTTTTTTATATTAATATGGTAATAAAATAAATTAGTGTCCTCTGCAAATAAAATCGAGTGAAAAATATTTCAAGCATTGTTTATATAGTTGATATAAATTAAAAACAAATGCGGTACGAATGTATTTTTTTTATTATTATTTTTTTATTTATTTATTTATTCTTGTCAAACAACCATTTACAGTTAAAGGTAATTTCCGATCAAATATTTAAAAATATTAAATACAAGTACATTTCATTATTTTTAATAGTTACGACACCTGAAAACCTCAAGAAGATAAAATCTTATCATCAGTAACATTTGATAATAAAAATTGGAAATAAAAGTGTATTGTTAGAAAAAAATCATGTAAAGAATCTTGATTGGCAATAAGTTCAATTATGTTCTTTTTAAATTTTCGAGTGGTATTGGCTTCTTTCAGTTTACCACTCAGGCTTGTAAAATGGTTCGATAGCATTGGACCACTATAGGAAACGGCAAAGCTCGTAATTTTGATGTACAGAAAGGTTTTTTAAATCTTCCGGTAGATCGCGTGTTGTATCGGTTTAATGTTTTATGGAAAATATTTTCGAAAACTTTCGGCGTTTTTTTTGACTGATGTTGAAACATAAATTGTGTAATTTTATTCATAAATATCAAGTGCCCTCATGCTTTTTAGAAGAGGTTTAGCATTTGTGAAGCGATTTTGAAAATGAATAATGCGTGCAGCATGATTCTGTTGTTTAAGGACACAGTCGAGTTTAGATTTGTTTGCACTACCCTAAACAATATTTTCACAAGATAAATAACTATTTATGAATGCAAAATATAGTTGAGCTAGTGTAGATTTGTCTAAAATTTCTCTGGTTTTATATAAAATGCCAATACTTCTTGAGATTTTATTGCATATATTGTTTAACATGATCTCTACAGGATAAGTTTTTGTCTATTGAAATACCAAATAATTTATTTGTGAATGAGCGCTCAATTTTGATGTTATTCATATATAGTATTGGTAAGGATTTCGGAATATATTGAAACTTTTGTATAGAATGGAATATGGAAAACTTAGTTTTATCAGTGTTTAAAAATAGGCTGTTAGCGATAAGTCAGTTTGATATTTGTTCTAGTTCATTATTTGTTACTTTAAATAGAGAGTTAATATTACTGCGAGAATAGGATAAAGCGGTGTCGTCTGCAAACTTAATAGTAGACATAGTATTTGATGCTCTATGTAGATCGTTGACATAGGTTAAGAACAGCAGCGGACCTAAGATGGAGCCTTGTGGAACCCCACATGATATTTTAATTTTGTTTGTCTGAAAGTCATAATTTAGAGAAATAAACTGCTTTCGATCAGTTAAGTAACTGGTAAACCATTTATGGTATTCGTGGCTTATTCCATAATATTTTAGTTTTTCTAATAAAATCTGATGGTTATCGGTGTCAAATGCTTTTGAAAAGTCTAGGAATATACCTAAGGTGAATTTGTTATGAGAAGACGCTCCACTGATAACTTCAACAAGTTGCATAAGTGCATGCTCCGTAGAGTAATTTGATCGAAAATCATATTGGTTATAATAAAGAAGATTATTATCATACAAAAATGCAAATACCCTATTATACATGATACGTTCAAGGATTTTTGAAAAAACAGGTAATACCGATATAGGTCGGTCATTTGTAACCAGACTTTCTTCTCCTGATTTTAAAATGGGCGAAATAATTGCAACTTTCATTTTATCTAGAAAAACGCCTGTTTTAAGCGATTTGTTAAAAATATCTGATAAAACATCTTTAATAAATTCATAACAGTCTTTGATTATGCTTGCTGAAATAGAATCATAGCCTGTTAAATTTCTTTATTGAATCATGAGGTTCTTTACTCGTGAGTTTTTTAAATGCTAAGCTTTTACCCGACTTTGAGAGATAGCTCAAGAAATGTGCAGGAGTGTGTTTAATTTTGCTGGCTAAGTTTGGACCAGTACTTACGAAAAACTCATTAAATTTTGTTGCCACCAACTTTACATCAGAGATCTGTGTGCCATCTACAGTAATCACACTTGGAAAGACTTTGTTGTTGTTTTTTTGTTTTTCAAGAATCTCTTTAATTGTATCCCACATTTTTTTCCAGTTACCTTTTAGTTCTAACAGCTTGTTTTTGAAGTAGTAGTTCTGGCTATTTTTTAGTTCTTTCATATAGACGTTTGTGCTCTAAGTAATTAAGCTTATCACGTTCATTCTTTGATTTAATAAAACGTATATATAGCTTTTGTTTTCGCTATATCCTTAATGAATATTTTTAAGAAAATCCACAAGTGATTACCTTAATGACAGTTTTCCGTAATTATAAGGAAGGTGACTCTAAAAAAGAGGTAGAAATAAACCTAAGTGTATATCATATATCCTACATCTTTTAAGATAGAAAACTATACCGTATATGATAGAATATCACGCTTTTAAAGTAGAAAATTGTCCCAAATTTGTAATTATATTTGGTACAATTTTTAACCTTTAAGGTACAAATTTCTATTGGGTAGGATATCTGAAATAATCTAAAGGTAAAAATTTTTATTTTTAATATCTTTTATTTTTAATATATACCTTTTCTATCAGATGAGTAGTTTTTAAACCAGCTCATTCATCTTATATTTTTTAGTTGATAGATAGAAATGTTTATTAATAGATAGAGGTGTTAATACAAAATGTATGAAATTTGTGCTTACGCATTTTTCATACAAAAGCATAAGATGCTCTTGTTTTTTATACAAAAGCATGAGATGCACTTGTTTTTTATACAAAAGCATGAGATGCACTTGTTTTTTATACAAAAGCATAAGATGCACTTGTTTTTTATACAAAAGCATGAGATGCACTTGTTTTTTATACAAAAGCATGAGATGCACTTGTTTTTTATACAAAAGCATGAGATGCACTTGTTTTTTATACAAAAGCATGAGATGCACTTGTTTTTTATACAAAAGCATGAGATGCACTTGTTTTTTATACAAAAGCATGAGATGCACTTGTTTTTTATACAAAAGCATGAGATGCACTTGTTTTTTATACAAAAGCATGAGATGCACTTGTTTTTTATACAAAAGCATAAGATGCACTTGTTTTTTATACAAAAGCATGAGATGCACTTGTTTTTTACACAAAAGCATGAGGTGCACTTGTTTTTTACACAAAAGTATGAGATGCACTTGTTTTTTATACAAAAGCATGAGATGCACTTGTTTTTTATACAAAAGCAAGAGTCGCACTTGTTTTTTATACAAAAGCATGAGATGCACTTGTTTTTTATACAAAAGCATGAGATGCACTTTTTTTGTTATACAAAAACATGACTTGTTTTTTATAAAAAAACATGACTTGTTTTTTATACAAAAACATGAGACTTGTTTTTTATACAAAAACATGAGACTTGTTTTTTATACAAAAGAATGAGACTTGTTTTCAGGAAATTTTAAAATTAAAAAAGTAGTAAGAAAATTTTAACAAACAACTAAGTTATAAAATTTCTACTGTGTAATGTTCGGTTTGTCTTTATATTTATACAATTACGTTTTAAATAAATAAACTAAATAAAAATCAAACAGTAAATTGCATTAGAATAAATAATTAAGTAGTAATAATATAAAGTTTTAAAAAAATTTGCAAATACATAAATTATATAAAAAGACTTAATATTGAGTAAATTAAAGTTAAATTAAAAAAAGTATCTAATATTATTAAATTTTTCAATTAATAATATATTAATATAGTGAAAGTGTTATTTAAAAATTTTATTTTTTAAAAAAAGTAAAAGAAAAATTTTGAAAGAAAATAAAAAGTAATTTTTTATGTATTTTTCAACTATATCGATTTTTATCAACAATTTCAAATAAAAAGCCAGGATATTTTGAGAGAGTTTATTATGTTTTTTTATTATTATCATTGATTGCAGTATGGGGTTACATTACGAAAATGTGGTAAAAATAAAATTTCTAATAAATTTATAAAAATATGCAAGTATCAAGTTTAAGATATTTTTAAGGCTAGCGCAGAATTAATAAAGTAACCATATTTTTATAATGAGGATTTCAACTCGTACCAATCCTTTAAAAGTTTATCTCATTACACTTTACAGACATAACAATCAAAATATATTTTGCTGTTGAAAAAAAAATGGTTTGAAACTTCTGACTAGGGTTAACCATAACCAAGGTAATAACTTGTAATACTCCTACGTAATAACCGTAATAACCCTAACCAACGTAACACCCTAACAAACATAATAACCCTAACCAATGTAATAACTTGTAATTAAAAACGCGTGCAAAACACGTGCTTTAACTGCTATAGAAGCTTTAAATAAAAGTATAAACAACACAAAAAAGTGTTTATAAAATCTAATTTGTTATTATACAAATTTAATCTTAGTTATAAAAATAATAGGTATGGTATTTATAAAAATAATTTTCTTAATAAACAATTAACTTTACCTCTGTTTGATATTTCTAACCTTTGAATGAAACATAAAACTTGAAAAGACCCTTTTTGATCAGGATCTATAAGATACCAACCAGAAATTTGATTCTCAGAAAGATCTTTACAACTCTTCATTACAGTTACAGCTTAAATAAATTAAAAAAACATTTAAATAATTAGATGCGTAACATATTATAACTTAATTAAAACGTATTAACACAATTAATTTTTTTTTTTTTTCACAAAGCAGCCTTTGTGTCTTTGAGTCCGCCCCCCCCCCCTCAGAAAAAATAAAATGTGGCCTCTCCTACATTCCTTCCCATCCCCACATAAAAAAGCAATTGTTAAGTCAATAAGATTTATGTATATGTCATATTTAACTGCAATGTAACTGCATTGGGTCAAAAACCAACAATAGATAGATAATTGTGTTAAGTTAACCCAAAGAATAATCAGGGGTCAATGAGATTTTTGAATTTTAATTAATTTAAAACGCTTCAGCATGTTAAAATAAAAGTTATATATTGTTTTTTATCATGCTTACATTATTACATCATTAAGTAGAGAATTACATGAAAAAGTAAAGAATTTTTTTTTGTTATTGAGCAGTGGCTTTTTAAATCAATAAAATAATCGGTCACACCTTTCACGTTAATTACTTTTAGCAGAACATTTTCAATTCAAAAAACGGCTTTATATTATTAAACTATTAGACCTGTAGCATTTCATCAACCTTAAAAAATATTTTTCTCCGGTACAATTTATACCCCAGCAGTAAAAAACAATCTTAGAACAACATCAACATTATTGAATATGAATTTAAGTTTGTTTGATTTAATAGCCAGAGGTAATCTCAGGTGATTTGGCTTTCTTGTTATCCAGGAAAAAATGTCTATAGAATTTCTATAAACCTTTAAAACATATGGCCTATAAGAATAAATTTTAAAAAATTTATTCTTATAGGCCATAAAAAATTCCTATAGAAATTCTATAGAATGTTTATTAATTTCTATAAAAACTGCTATAAAAAATTTTTTATCGAAAAAAAAGTTCTATAATAGTTTCTATAGATATTAACAGAGATTTTATAGAAATTCTATAGAATTCTATAGAACTTCTATTAGCAACATGTTTCAAAAGTTTATAAAATTCTACAGATTTTTCTTGAATACACCGGTATTAATTTCAAATGAAGTGGAAACAAATCTCTTGAAATACAAATATTGTTTAGAAAATAAATATCCGTATTGTTTAAGTAGATAACTATTCTAGGGCGTGCTATGTAACTGCATAAGAAAACAAACCTGAAAGGAAATTTTTTAGAGCATGCAAAGACAGATACAGTTGTTGTTTCACATTAGAACTATATAAGTTAAGCGTAAAGTACCTTATGTATCTTAATGCAATTCAACATAATTTATATGCCAACTAATTTCTCCTAATATTTACAATTATGACTTAATATTGTATTCAAATACGTCTATATATACACAATTATTTACAAGTAACACTTATCGATCGTTAGCTTTAAAGCAATCATTAACTATAATTACACTTTAAACTTTCCTTTGGTAATAACGATCACCTTGTCTTAAAGATTAAAACGCTGTGGGGACCTCCTTTTCCGTTTGCTTCTTTTTAACACTGGCGTCTTGTTTGTTTCATCTCCAAGCCGCACAACGCATAATTCTTCATAATCTTCTGAACCCTCATTTTATTCATTGTCATCTCTTACTTGTTCAAGATCTTCATTTGAATTGTTGTCAACTCTTACTTTTCCAAGATCTCGTACATGTCAACACATTTTATCCTTTTCTACCGTTTGCTCTGCTACTATCCCTGTAATTATTCCCATCTTGTATTGAGAGTCTCATCCGTTATCCGGGGCCAACCCATACTTTATCGCCAAGTTTAAATTTATTGGTTATCTTCTTACAAGGATTATATGTGCCTTCTTATTGTTTTCAATTCTTTTTACTATAATTTCGTATTGATAAAAGATATTTATAGGTGCAGTAGAAGACTTACAACTATCATTTGGACTAACTTTATACTAACAAACTGCCTCTAGTATGTTGCACGGAACTCTCTTCGCCGTTCTTTTGACAGTTTGATGACTTTACAGAAGTAAACAAATGAGACTTTGTTGAATGACTAGTCTAGCAAGAATGAGTTTTAGTTGATGGAACCAGAGATAATAACTCTTTTGAGCAGCGACCATTATATTTATAGAAAAGGAAAGAGATGCAACTTTACGACAAAAGGGCCAATCTTTGCAGATAGAATGAGTCCAAATACGTTTGTAATGCGGTTTTAGACTTTGTCTACAAGGGAAAAAACGCCGTTAGAAGAACCAGCCCAAATATGACAGCAGTATTCCATAAAAGGATGAACAAGAGATTTGTAGAGGTAGAGAATAGAATAACAACAACAACAACAACAATAACAACAACAACAACAACAACAACAGCAACAGCAACAGCAACAACAACAACAACAACAACAACAACAACAACAACTACAACAACAAGCTATTTGTTTTCCTGAAATCATTTTTAAAATAGTGTTAGTAATAATAAAAATAATAATCGAAACACTAATAATAGCAATAATATATAATAATAATAATATAAGATAACAAAGTTAGTACAAATTATAGTAATATTAATAATATAATAGTCATAATGAAAAAAAAAGGTAGTTGTTAGCATAAAATTAGTTATAATAATAAGTTAATGATTAATAAGGATAATATCACTCATAAAGAAACCTTATAAAAGTAGTGACAACAATTTTCAAAAATAATATAAGTAATAAAATGCAAAGACATATATTGAAATAGATGGACCATAATCTATGCGTTTAACATAGATTAAAGCTCATAGAACATACATTAAAAATAAACATGTTGAAATCATAGTTTGCAGGTAATAATGTTAAAAAAAGAAGAAAAAAAATAAACAAACAAAAAGTAATGATAATAAATGTCATAATAACGAATAAATAACTAAAAGAATATTTTTAATAGTAAAGATAATAATGTCAAAAGTTATAACAAAATACTTATCAGAATTTTTTATTATTGATTTTGTTTATGATGGAGAAAAAGTGTAGAATTTAGTTTTTTGGGCTCATTCAAAATGCATATAAATCTCCTGCTCTATTCACAGACGCACTGATAAACAAAAGAATGTTTAAAGATGGTACATTTAATTTTTCATTGCATATTATTAAAAAAGAGTAGGAGTGTATAAGTCTACTTTCTCTGAGCAAGTTTGTAATCGAAGATGGTAAATTTTTGTTTAAGGAGCCGAAAACAAAAAGAACATTAGCATACTTTACTAGCGCTAAAAATGTTGAAATACTGGGTTTTTTTAGCGGTTTTGATGTATCTGATTTACTTGGTAGGAGATTTATTAATCTAATGGAATGACGCTGAGATGGTAGCAATTGGTTAATGCAATAGTTTTTAATTGACCCCAAACTTGACAACAATAGCTAAGATGAGATGAGAATAATGCATAGTAAATATTCTTAAGTGTAACTTTATTGACATAATGACGAATTATTGAAAACGTTGGCTTGAGAGTTTCTTGCTTAGTTCATCAATGTGAAAATTCCATGAAATATTGAAGTCAATTAACACACCAAGGTGTTTAATAACTCTTGAAGGGTATACCCTTTTAATATTATTTTGGATTTTATTTTTAGTAATTTTAAAATAGTTATTTCTCGGAGATGAAAAAAAATAAATTCAGTTTTTTTTGTGAAAAAAAACTTTACCTTTTTCGGTCCGAATATACATTTTTACATAAAGAATGATACGTTTGTTGATTTGCAAGGGGTTTGTATCATTAGCAAACAGATAAACTGACTAGTAATGAAAAGAGTTGGTTAGATCGCGAAAACCAAGAACAGAACCTTTAGGATTACCAAACAAAACAGATTTATTACTAGAATTAAAAGCATTAATACTAACAAATTGTTTTTGATATGAAAGATAAGATCGGAACAAGTTATTTACAATACCGCCCAAATATGACAGCAGTATTCCATACAGGGATGAACAAGAAATTCGTGGAGGTAGAAAATGGAATTAGGTGGCGAGCACAATAAAAAAATGCAATCTTGGCAAATACTAATTTAGCAATCAATTGTATATCGTTTCTATGAGAGGTCACTAGTAAAAGGTAATTCAATGAAGATGTAAAAAAGAAGATTCATTGAGAGGGTTGATATTCATCAATAAAGGAAGGTCGGCAGTATTGCGATAGTTGTTTGCAGTATATAACTGAGTCTTGTTAAAGTTTACAAGCCACTGAGAGACCCATTTTTACCGAAAAAAGATGAGATTCAAGATTGGCTGCCTATTCTAAGAAATAGAAAGAAAAGACTTTTTGTAAAAACAGGAGTATAAAGTTGGATCACCAGTAAAAAAAACTACTTTAGATGTAAAGTTGTTGGGAAGATCATTAATGTAGATTAGAAATAAAAAGATAGGACATCGAGGTAACAAAAACAAGGATAAAATCTTGAGGTACTCTAGAAGTTACTGAAAATAAAGACCTTAAAATGATGACTTTAATAAATCAGTTAGAAAGAAACGATTTGATCATTTCAAAAACTGCGCAATAAAATATTTCAGTCACAGCAGTTAGCAAGTCAGCTGAAGAGAGAGAGGATCGAATACTGTATTGATTGTTAGACAGTAAATTACTTGACTCAAGATGGGGTGTGAGAAATATTTTGATCAAAGACTCAAATATTTTGTTAATAACATGAAGAAGACTAATTGGAAACTAATTGGAGGGGTCAGAATGTTCTACGGAGTTGTTCAAATAATTAGAACAACAGATGCCATTTTCAGCAGTCAGGAAAATAAGACTCAGTCAAGCAGAAATGGTGTATAAAATAAGTTAACTTAACGTTAATAAAAGAGCATTTTAGCACTTATGTTAACGTCTTTTTAACTGATTACATAGCTGAGATTTTACTCGTAGCTGAAATTTCACTCAGCTATGGTACCAATATAGTCTTTATTTTACAACTCATTGATCCTTTATTTTTTAAAAAGTCATTAGTTAAAGTGAAGTAAATTTTAAAATTTTCAGAAGACACTTCTTTATACTTGACTATAAGATGGTTTAGAAATGTAAAATTTTAGCAAAGCTCTTATAAATGACATGTAGCTGATAATACATTGCCATGTACCCACCAAGCACATGTACCCACCAAGCACATGGCAAAAATATGGCATAACTAAACTTTCTTTTTTGGAAACAATAATACTATATATACTTATAAATAATAGCAACTAATCTACAGAAAAAAAAAAATTTTAAGAAACATCTTACCATTTGTACAATTACAATGATAATTTTTTAACACTCCACATGTGTCAACGCATTTACATTCACCGCACAATTTTTTAGGATTCAATCTTTTACAATGCTCACTGCAAAACTCCTATTAAAAATATTTTAAAAATAATTTTATGTAAGAATTACAAATTAAGTTACATCTAATCAGTTGTCATCTAATCACCATATATACTATGCAGTTATACAGTTCAATTAACATTGATGCACACACTTGCGGAAAGTGTAGAGTTTTCCTCCACACCGGTGTTTAGACACAAGTGTGAAGTTATTTTGCACAATTTTGTGCAAATAACTCCACACTTTTGTGCAGAAGTCAAGTTAGAAAAGTTAATTTCCACAAAAGTGTGCAAAATTCCACACTTGTGATAGCTACACACCGTTGTGGAGAAAAACTCCACACTTTCGGAAAAAGTACAGGGCTAAAATTAATATTTCGTTCAAATATAAATTAAATATTTGTTATTGAAGTTAATAATGTTGCAACGATTAATTAATAATTCGACTGTTGACCATACCGACTGATGTATATTTTAAAGTCGACCAAAATCGATGAAAACATTTCTAAAGTCGACTAAAAGTCAATATGTTCAAATAATGAAATTCTTTTTTTTTCCAAAAATATTTTTGATAAAATTAATAAAGTAAGTTATATTCGTTTTTTATTTTTCAACATTACTTCATTTAAAAAATAACTGAGCAAATAAAAGAGAGCAGAGGCGCTCCGACAACAATCTAATCTATTCCCAGACTCCAATGATTTGGGAACCCCTATAATACTTGTTAAACTTCAAAAAGTTTATACGAACATATTTACTATGTTAAAAGTACGAATATATATACGAACATATTTACTATGCTGTTGTATAAGTGACATCTAGACCTGGAAATTCAAAAAAATATGAAAAAAATAATCTGCCAAAAATGACTTTTAGTAGATGGGAAATATATATACGATAAAACAATAGTTGCTGAAAATTTGAACAGCTTTTTTACTAATATTGGGCCTAACTTAGCTGAAAAAATTCCGTCAAGTTCTTTCTCATATGATTGTTATTTAAAAACCAATGGTAAAGTAATGAACGAATCTAAAATTTATGAGTTGCGATCTGCTCTTAATAGTCTTAAAAACAACACAAGGTTTTGATCAAATTAGCGTGCATGTTGTAAAATCAGTTTTTAATATTATAGAATCCTCTTTATATCACATCTTTAATCTTTCAGGTACTGTTCCAGAAATCATGTACTATTCCAGAAAAATAAAAATTGCACTAGTCTCACCGATTTTTAAATCGGGTAATGACAAAAATACTTCAAATTACAGACCATTATCGTTTCTTCCGGTTTCTATCGGTTTCTATTGGTTCTTCCATGTTTTTCTAAGTTACTCGAACGTACAATGTATAATAGGCTTAACAGCTACCTAACGGTAAACAGCATGTTGTTTAACAAGCAATTTGGTAAAAAAAAATCACTCAACTGATTACGCTTTGACAGAGTTAGTAACACATGTCACAAATGCCTTTAATGCTGTTTGTTTGACATCAGCAGTTTTTATTGATCTGTCTAAAGCCTTTGACACCGTCAACCGTGTCATTTTTCTTAAAATACTAGAATATTATGGAATAAAAAACAATAATTTACTTTTAAGAATATTTATCAAGCAAAAAACAGTTTATACAATATGAAACAAGTAAAACGTCCGAAAACGTATTAACATGCGGAATTCCTCAAGGACCGGTTTTAGGATTTTTTAATTACGCTACTAATTTCACTTTATATAAATGATTTATCTTTAACATCGAACTAATTAAATTTTGTTTTATTTTCGAATGATTCCAATCTTTTTTTATTTACATAGGGATATTAAAACGCTTTTTAAAGTAGTTAATAAAGAGTTAAACAAAATAACCGAATGGTTTATATGTAATAAAATATCGCTTAACGTTACTAAAACTAAGCATATACTATTTCATAAACAAAATAAAACAGATAATCTTCCTCTTACCTGATCTGAAAATAAATAAAATTAAAATTACTAGACAAACATCAGTAAACTTCTTAAGTGTTATTTTAGATAAAAATTTATGTTGTAAGACTAATATAAGCTCCAAATTCAGTTTTGTAACTCCAAAATATAATCTAAAGTTACGTTCTTATTCTATTTAGTAGTAGTAGTAGTAAATACGGATTTTAATATTATAAATGTTGCCAGTCTTTTTCAGAAGTTATCAAGCTAAATTTATAACAATACATTAACTTTATCAACTTTAACATGTTAACTACTAAAAAACGTGCTCCTTTTGTTCAAGCCATTTCCATTTGTAACATTTTTACATTGTATATATTCTTAACGGCGAAATAAATGAAACTACTATTACTAACTACTACTACTACTTCTAGATCTTGGAGCTTTACGATTCAATTTTTCCAAGGTCCCCGAGCCAGCTTAGAATGGTCCTGTATAAAGTATTTATGCAAGTAACTAGCATGCATAAAGAAAAAAAAATTAATAAAATACTTAACCGAAAATTTAATTAAGTATAAATATTGCTAACATAACATCCTCCCAACGAATATTTACAAAATTAAATACACTTATTATCTACCAAATAAATGTTTATTTAATTATTATCTACCAAATAAATATTTATTTAATTTCTAATTTTTATGTTTAAAATTAATAAAAGTTTTATTCCAAAATTGAGCAAAACAAAAGTTAAAAAATCCTTTGTCAATCAGAGTTGTCAATCAGAGTTGTCGATCAGAGTTGTCGATCAGAGTTGTCGATCAGAGTTGTCGATCAGAGTTGTCGATCAGAGTTGTCGATCAGAGTTGTCGATCAGAGTTGTCGATCAGAGTTGTCGATCAGAGTTGTCGATCAGAGTTGTCGATCAGAGTTGTCGATCAGAGTTGTCGATCAGAGTTGTCGATCAGAGTTGTCGATCAGAGTTGTCGATCAGAGTTGTCGATCAGAGTTGTCGATCAGAGTTGTCGATCAGAGTTGTCGATCAGAGTTGTCGATCAGAGTTGTCGATCAGAGTTGTCGATCAGAGTTGTCGATCAGAGTTGTCGATCAGAGTTGTCGATCAGAGTTGTCGATCAGAGTTGTCGATCAGAGTTGTCGATCAGAGTTGTCGATCAGAGTTGTCGATCAGAGTTGTCGATCAGAGTTGTCGATCAGAGTTGTCGATCAGAGTTGTCGATCAGAGTTGTCGATCAGAGTTGTCGATCAGAGTTGTCGATCAGAGTTGTCGATCAGAGTTGTCGATCAGAGTTGTCGATCAGAGTTGTCGATCAGAGTTGTCGATCAGAGTTGTCGATCAGAGTTGTCGATCAGAGTTGTCGATCAGAGTTGTCGATCAGAGTTGTCGATCAGAGTTGTCGATCAGAGTTGTCGATCAGAGTTGTCGATCAGAGTTGTCAATCAGAGTTGTCGATCAGAGTTGTCGATCAGAGTTGTCGATCAGAGTTGTCGATCAGAGTTGTCGATCAGAGTTGTCGATCAGAGTTGTTGATCAGAGTTGTCGATCAGAGTTGTCGATCAGAGTTGTCGATCAGAGTTGTCAATCAGAGTTGTCGATCAGAGTTGTCGATCAGAGTTGTCGATCAGAGTTGTCGATCAGAGTTGTCGATCAGAGTTGTCAATCAGAGTTGTCGATCAGAGTTGTCGATCAGAGTTGTCGATCAGAGTTGTCGATCAGAGTTGTCGATCAGAGTTGTCGATCAGAGTTGTCGATCAGAGTTGTCAATCAGAGTTGTCAATCAGAGTTGTCGATCAGAGTTGTCGATCAGAGTTGTCGATCAGAGTTGTCGATCAGAGTTGTCGATCAGAGTTGTCGATCAGAGTTGTCGATCAGAGTTGTCGATCAGAGTTGTCGATCAGAGTTGTCGATCAGAGTTGTCAATCAGAGTTGTCAATCAGAGTTGTCGATCAGAGTTGTCGATCAGAGTTGTTGATCAGAGTTGTCGATCAGAGTTGTCAATCAGAGTTGTCGATCAGAGTTGTCGATCAGAGTTGTCAATCAGAGTTGTCAATCAGAGTTGTCGATCAGAGTTGTCGATCAGAGTTGTCGATCAGAGTTGTCGATCAGAGTTGTCAATCAGAGTTGTCGATCAGAGTTGTCGATCAGAGTTGTCGATCAGAGTTGTCGATCAGAGTTGTCGATCAGAGTTGTCGATCAGAGTTGTTGATCAGAGTTGTCGATCAGAGTTGTCGATCAGAGTTGTCGATCAGAGTTGTCGGTCAGAGTTGTTGATATGAGTTGTCGATCAGAATTGTCAATCAGAGTTGTCGATCAGAGTTATAGTATCGTTGGTTTTGTGAATTACAGTATCGCTTCTAATTTTGACTTTGAAGTCAATGGTAGAAGCGATACTGTAACTTGCGTAATCAACAATAGTTGTTCTTTGTTCTATCTGTTGAGTCAATAAAACTTAGTCAAGAAGATAAATATCAAACTTTCATGACTATGATTAAACAAAATAAAAATTCGAGTTATAAGAAAAGGAGTCAATGAATACAGAATGCTCAAAGATTCCAACATGTGTAAAATAAATAGTGCCTACGACATCAGAAATAATGTGATACACCAACGAAATTGGAAGAGTCATTCGGCTTATGAAAACAATGGTGAAAACAAGGTATTCCATTATGATAATTACTTCGGGTCTTACTTGGCAAAATTTTCATCAATAGTAGAACGGAAATAGAAAAAACAGGTGAAAAAAACGAGGAAAGAATCAGTCAAATGAGAAAAAGTGGATGGCAAATGAGGAAACCAGTAAGTAGAAAAAAGCATGCAAAACTCTATAGTATGGATATAGATGCCTTATGCATATGGATATAATCCGTATGAGGATTAGGGCATCCTCATACGGATGCCCTAAATACGAATTATGTTTAAGGAACCATTTAAGAAGACCAAGATCAAGATTTTGCTGCCACGTAACTATGCTCTAACCCTGAAACACCCTTACCCTAACCCTAAAACACCACCTTCAAGATCTAGAAACGACTCCACTAGTTCAAGTGACATGCCCGAAAAGATTCCGGTTAGAACTAGTTGTTAATGTTTTGACGAACAAATAATAAGATGCACAATTTAGTGCTTATCCGACCACAAACATAATCAGTGTGTCAGAAATGAGCGATCAATTCAAACTGATGAAGAATTGAGTGATTTCGAGTACAGACTCGGATGAACCGGAAATATCACAGCCCCCAACAACCTGAAAAAATGTCAATCTACTTGAGATCTCACCAATGTTTTAAGCGAGGACTATAGATAGATATTTTAAAGACGCACCTTCCTCAATCACCAGATGGCAGCATACTGCCTTTTCAATAAAAAACGCAAATGATGTTGTTGCCGTTGGCTTAGACAATACAACCAAAGCAACGTGGCTGGCTACGTTGTATGATATCAAGGCAGCCACATCACAATTATTTATACAGACAGAGAGCAGATAACACTGATCACGGGCTGTATTAAGAATGCTTTAATTCAAAATATATCTCATTATTGTTTGGTAGCCTACTAATTTAAGCTGAAATGTCTGGTGTTAGTGGACTCAACTGTAAATGATGTGAAAGGTGCTACAAATTATTTGATGTCAAACCGTTAGCATTTTGGCCATCTAATTTTTCTATAACTTTTTTTGTTCACTTAAAACTTGTTTAGTTCTTGCTGAGTTAAAACTTGTTGATAATATTATCAACTGAGCTTGAAGTTAGAAAAAACAGTTAGAAAAAACAATTGAGCTAAACAACAATTGAGCTAAGTTAGAAAAAACAATTGAGCTAAGTTAGAAAAAACAATTGAGCTAAGTTAGAAAAAAATTTCTTATTATTAAGATTAATCTTAATAATAAGAAATTTTTTTCTAACTTAGCTCAATTCAAACACTAGTTTTTAAAAGTAAAATCTATTTTTTATGATTAAAATGCATCTTAAATGTTTAAGACAGCAGCAGATAAATGGTCTGTATTAATGTTGTTCCACAACATATTTTTATGCGATTGTCTAGCTTTGTGAACTTCGACTCACAAAGTTTCCGGGATTATTTCAAAAATATCCTGGGATTTAGAATTTATAAAGCTACGATTAATATCTGCGTTTAAACTGTGTCTAAATTATAATAATAACATAAATAATTAAAATAAAAATAACAATAATGAGAAAAAATATTAAAATTTATTTTTATTGATTTATATTGTGTTTTCGTAACAATAGAGTGTATTTATTTAAATTTTTTGAACTTTAAAAATTCATCTTAATAAGAAAGTTAAAACTGTTAATATATTATTATATTTTCTTTGATTCTTCAAATTAGGATACTATGTCAAATTTCATAGTTTAACAGCAAAACTCTTATACGGAAACATTTTCAACTTATTTTCTCTTATTTTCGGAAACATGTGTAAACTAAGCCATTGCAAAAAAGTATTGAAAACTACGGGGAGATCAACAAAAGCTCTGCATTTTTATCTTCATCAGTTACATAAAATAAATTTAAAAGTAGAACCGGCACGTTTTCCGACATTTGAAGAAGAACCACTGAGTAAAAAATGTAAAATTAATTCATATTTTTCATCGAATATGAATAAAGAAGAAAGCTTGTCTGAGGTGCTAGCAAGATTAACAGCTAAAGATAGATTTCTTTTAACGTAATATACACTTCTATTGATTTGTCAACATACCTAAATCTCCAAACACTGTTAAAAAAATGGTACTTGATTTCTCTAACTATATAAAAAATGGTATAAGAAATGAATTAAGACAAGAAATTAAAAGTGGAACTAAGTATTTAATTTCTTTTAGATGAGTGGACGTCGATTCGAAATACCCATTATTTAAATATCAATTTACACGATACGAAACAACTTTTGGAGTTTAGGTTTAGTAAGGATTTAAGGGACAACACCAGCTGAAAAGTGTGTAATTTTACTCAAAGAAAAACTCTCGGCGTCTGGTTTGAATCTTGAAAATATTATTGTGTGCATAATAACAGATGGAGCCAGAGTAATAAAAAAAATTAGAAAACTATTACAGATTAATCAACATCTATGATTTGTTCACGGTATTCAACTGGCTATTATTTCAGTTTTTCATAATACGTTTTAGACGAGGAAATTGATAATTACACTAAAAATTTGGAAAATGAACCTGATTTTAGTGAAAGCTATGAATCAGATAGCAATGAAAATGGTAAAAACAAATCGATTGGTCCAGTGATTAAAGTTAGAAAAATAGTGATGGTTTTTAAAAGATCACTAACTAAATATGATAGCTGTCTTCAAAAATACATAAAAAATGACTTTGGAAAAAACCTTGATTTAATCAAAGATTGTAAAACAAGATGGAGCAGCTTACTATCAATGCTTGAAAGGTTTCATAAGTTAAAAAATTGCATAAACAAGGCGCTTGTTGATGTCAGTATTAATGATTCTATAAAAATGTCAGATAGTGAGTATGAAATTGTTTCTGAGCTAGTAAACGTGCTAATACCAGTTAAAGCAGCAGTGGAAGTGCTTTGTCGACGCAATGCCTTATAACTGCTGACGTTGCGTTAGAGTTTATGCTAACTAGATTAAAAGAACTGAATACAACAAGTAGTCAACTTGTTAATGCATTAGCCTCCAGAATCTAAGAGCAAAGGACTGAATTAAGTAGTCCACTGCACTATCTACATCTTTTGTTTGATACAGTTCATCTTTTTTAATGTACACGGCCGACAACACAGTTTTCGAAGTAGGGGGGGGGGGGGCACAATTGTCCATTTCTAAAATAAAGTCCTCTACAACTAGATTTTTATTTTAAAAAAAAAGGTTAAGACAAAAAGTGGGAACTACCCTCCCGGACCCGGTGTTGTCGGCCCTGATGTTTACGTGACAAATAGATTTCTATAAAGTGTCAAAAGTGATGGCTATAAAAATGGTTGTATAGCCATCACTTTTCTATAAAACCATTGTTCCATTGTTCCATTGTTCCCTTTCTAATGTCAAAAACCTATATCAATGTGAAAAAAATAACATTTTGAAAACAGTTCATCACATGCTGCTAGTTACCATTACAGAATTTAACTACAGATTGTGCAACATGTTTTAACAATATTAAATGAGAAAGTAATAATTGCTCTGAAACTCAAAGGAACTCATGAAACATCCTTTTATGCATGGAAATGAGAATTTGGAAAAAGACCAAGCAAAATATGCATGTCTTTATTAGGCATCAATTAAAAAGACACCTCCTGCCAAGTAATATTTATGTAAAGATAATTTGCTTTTGGAGTTTATTATACTTTCTATATATATATATATATTTATATATATATATATATATATATATATATATATATATATATATATATATATATATATATATATATATATATATATATATATATATATATATATATATATATATTTATATATATATATATATATATATATATATATATATTTATATATATATATATATATATATATATATTATATATATATATATATATATATATATATATATATATATATATATATATATATATATATATATAAATATATATATATATATATATATATATATATATATATATAAATATATATATATATATATAATATATATATATATATATATATATATATCTATATATATATATATATATATATATATATATATATATATATATATATATATATATATATATATATATATATATATATATATATATATATATATATATATATATATATATATATATATATATATATAAATTTAGAAAATATTTTGCATTATAAAATTTTCTAGATAATATTTGTTTGTTTTTTGCAGATACGCTTTCAACAATGTTATTTTATAAACTTTTTTTTCTTTTTTAAAAAGGTTTTCCCTTTGTTATTAACTTTTACTTTATTTTTTTGTTATTAACTTTTAATTTATATTCACTGTAAAATTATTTTAATATCATGGCTGACGACACGGGGGCAGAGGCACGTAACCTCTACTTTTTTTCTAAAGCACCTTTTTTTTTGTTTTTTTTTTAGAAAAATCTTGATATAGAGGACTTTTTTCACAAATTGATGTCTATGCACCCTACTATAAAACCCGTGTCGTTGGCCCTGAATAACAAAACATTGTTTTGGTTAAGCATAACTTTATAAGCCTTTAGTAAGAAGTATTGAATGATCTTTGCCAGCTAAGTCAAAATATCGATTTTGTTCGTCCTGTCACATAGTAGTTCTTGTAAATAACAAATTTAATTTTACACAAAATCGTTGCATTTATTATTAAATTTTTTTTTTTTTTCAATTAGGTTTTACAGTGTTTTAAGTTATTTTGATATCTTATATTAAAGTATTTTACAAGGTAAAACCCCTAACGACCTATACTCGTTCTATCCCATTCACTCGCCTTATTTAAAATAAGTTAAAAAAATATATTTTGATTTTTGATTTTTTAGAAGTAATTTTTAAATGCCAGTTCTAAATTGCTCGTATTTTAAGGGTTTTTATTTTTCTGAGCTGATTTTCTTATGAGTTTTTTTTTTTTTTTTTTTATTTATTGTCTCAAGTTTGTTTAATAAAAATTACAATAATTGAACATAATCAAAAAACTTAAAAGATTAATAAAGAGAATTACAAAAAAGCCTATTTATAAAAGTTTCATATTTTAAGATTAAAGCGTTAACTTGTTTTAAATTCATAAATTAATTATATTATTTACTTGAAAATTACTCAATAACTTTTTATTTAATATAATTTAAAACAAATTATTTGTTTATTTTATGTATGTATTTTTTTTTTTTTTTTACGCTTTCATGAATTATAAAATATTTGTGTCTGTTATCTGCAATTTATAAATGAATTTATTATAAAAAGCCTTACAAAAAATAAGGAAGGAAAAAAACATACTAACCCCTCCTTTTCTCACAAAGTACGAAACTGCGTTTGTTGAATCTTTAACTAAAGAAATATTTCCGAATTTAAAATATTGGCAAGAATAGTCTTCGGTAATATTTTTCTTGAAAATCATTAAAGACTTGCAATTTTTTTTATCCATCACACAAACGCTCAGACATGTTTTGAAATCTACGTGTTCTTCTTCTTTAAAAGGTTTACTTGTACCAACCGCAACTTTATTTTTAAACAAGTAAAATCTTTCATTTTCTTCATCAAAAGTTTGATACAAATCTGATTTTACATGATTATTTCTCACGATTATCCACATCGCAACAAAATAATGAAATATTTTTATCATAATAAAGTTTTCAGAGTACTTCTAACTTTGAAAAAATTTTTTTTTTCAAATAATAAACAAGAAAAATCAGCTATTTAAAATGATGGTAACCTTTTATTTTATTATTTATTATATTTATTGTTTTTATTCTATTATTCAAAAAAAAATTAAACTTTAAAAATACAACCTTTTAGCTTCAATGTTAATGAATTTTATAAAGTTTTGAAGTTATTGCCTGTGTTGGGTTATATAAGATTTTTTTAAGTAATTTTATATATGTTTTATCAATAAGTTCTTTGATATTGGAACAGATATTGAATTGGTGTGAGTTTATTGCATCGATTTCAATAACTTTAAGTGATTGTTTATTGAATAGTTGCACCTCTTTTTTTGCTGCAATATTGCAAGAGAGAGTATAGGGGCGCTGTACAGTATGTGAGGTAGGCTTAATAGAGTATGACCATTCTTTTTAGGGCGCGTTAGTAAGTAGTGTACTAACGTAGTAGTATTTTGAACCTTTATGAACCCTCGTGTTCAAAAAAATATAGAAATCCAAGTACACGTGTCCGGATAATGATCAATATATTATTTTAAAAATAAAGCTTTTACTCTTTATTTCCTATTGAACAACCCGCTATACATGTGTGTATATATATATATGTATATATATATATATATATATATATATATATATATATATATATATATATATATATATATATATATATATATATATATATATATATATATACAAATAGTATTGCGTACTAAGGTAAGCAATTTGACGTCATACTGAAATAGCCTGCTGCTGGGGGCTTCAGTACATATATCGACTGACAAATAGCCTGACTCGCAGTGGAGTGCTGCTACATCGACTGAGGGTTTAGGATGGGGCAGCAATCGTTTCATTCATCATTCTTCGTTTTTTTTTTCTTCTTTTTGGAAAAAAACGGTATAGTTTAAGTTATGCACAAAAAGTGAGCAAATGCTTATCAAAACACGCTTTAGTAAGTGTGTATATATATATATATATATATATATATATATATATATATATATATATATATATATATATATATATATATACACACACAAATGCTGTGATTCTCATAAGATAGATTTTTCAATCTATCTTATGAGATATTATCTGTTGTTTAGGTGCCCCAAGAAGACCTATTGGTTTTGTCACAGAGCACCGCGGATGAGCATTTAACCAGGAAGTTCACACCTCCTTCCTAACCGTGACGCGAAAATATGTCCAGAGCTTGTTTTGAACCTGAATCTGCTTCTAACCACTGCGCTCTAATAACTGCGCTACGGCCGCATAATATGATTTTTTTTACATTGAGTTCCTATTAAACCTAACAAAAAAAAAAAAAAAATTTTAATTATTTTCTGAATTGTTTTATTAAACTTAATTACTTTTACCTTAATTACTTCCATATATGGAAGTTACAAACATTATTAAATTTTTTAAAATTTGAAAACGTTTCGTATTGGTTATTAAACTAGTTCAGGTAAGTTACAATATTATCGAATTAAAAACAGGTAAGCAAGAGATTAACTTTATTGCCCTCGATATTTTATTATAATAAAAGATGAAAAAACATTGCAGTATGAAAAACTATAAGAAAAGTCTAAGACCTGATATCCACAGATTTGTTTTTGTATAGTAAATTAATTACCAAAAAAAATAACTCTCAATATTCTTGACCTTTATAGAGAATGAAAAGGTAAAAACTTTAAAGAGGTAGAAACAAATAAAACTGCTAACATATATGTTCATGTTGTTTTTTTATTTGTTAGATCTGGAAAAATGATAAAAAAAAGTTTATTACATAATTTAACACAAAAATTCAAAAAAAGTACTTGATTTTTTTGTTATAAAACCAAGTTTTTTGAAATTTTATGCATACCCTTTTCATAATTTTACAACATCAAATATAACTTTTTACTATTTTACTGTTTATTTTTTACCATTTAACTTGGTTCTTTTAAATAATTTTTTTTTATTAATCAAATACAATCCTTTAAAAAAATAGAGGAAACCGAAGCTTAAAGCCTCTGTTTTCATAATGAGTATCATGTATATATTAAAAATTGGTACATATACGTTTACATATTCTATACAATACGTAATAAATTGTATATTTAAATATTTAAAATCGATTTAGAATTAAAAAGATTCAAAACATTTTCAAGATTTAAGTTTATCAATTTTTTTTTATACAAAATTAAAACAGACAAAAACAACAAGAAAGATACATTATAAAATAAAATTCTTTTTTTAAAAAAAATATAGGTGAAAATATGTATGTTTTGTTTAATTCCATTTATTATTATTATTATTATTTTTTACGATCTTAACACAGAACACGGCGCGCCGTGTTCTGTGTTAAGATCGTAAAAAATACGTATTTGATAAGCATTTACTAGGAAATTCACACTTTCCTAACCGATATTGCAAAACTTGCCCAGAGGCGGGGTTTAAACCGCGGAAACTTTGTTTCTGAGGCAAGTGCGCTACCTCTGCGTCACGGCTACTCAAATTTAGGAAGTGTTTTTTTAATAGTTTTTTGTTTAATATATCAATAGATTTATTTTCGTCACGAACCGAGTTCCACGAGTGTGGTCCCCGACATGTAATTGAGAAGTAAATTTTTTTTAGCAATGTTAGTGAAATTTAGTAATTACTTATTGAGTGTCTTTATTTATATTTATGACTTATTTGAGAGAAATTTTAATAAAAATATTTTGGAACTATTTCATTTTGAAGTTTAAACATAAATAACAAGTTATGGGAGATATTCAGTTCATATACGTTTGGAGCATTTATTTCCTTGAGTAACGGCTTAGCACTTTCGTACCTCTTTGTGCCCAAAACTAATCGACTTGCTTGCTTTTTTTTTGTATAAATATTTTTTATATAAGATAAATAATTGTTTGAATATTAAAATAGTTAATATGACTATGTATAAAGGGAAAAAATGTTTTGTCTTGTAGATAATCCCAAGAGTCTTTGAAACTTTATTCTAGACTAACTTTATTTGGCTTTATTTTCCTTAAAAAATTTATTTTCCTATTTAAATGTTAATCGAAAATTATTCCAAGTATTTCATTGAAAAGTTTTATTTATTATTGTTTATTGTTTATTCTGGTAGTTTAAGTGGATAGTTTTCAGATTTAGTTTAAATGGGTTATTTGCTATAAACCATTCATTAAGATATATTTGTTTTTTATTTACATAGCGAAAAATATTTTTTAAATTTGAGTCTGAAAAGAAAACATTAGTTTTATCAGCAAAAATAATATAATTAAGTATATTTGAGGGCAAATAAATATCATTTATATAAATTAAAAACAGCTAAGGTCCAAGTATTGATCTTTGCGAAACACCGCAACTTATTGATTCGAATCGCGCGCATGTTAAATTATATTATACTCCTTGTTTACAATTTTCTCAATTCCAGCCACTTTAAGTAAGAGTGAACTTTTCAATAATAACATAGTTTATAGATAAAGTAGCTTATAAATACTACTTAGTTATCTGAACTTATATTTTTCAGTTATTACTATAATATAAAGTTTCTCTTTTTAGCTTTGTTTAAAATGTTATTATAAAAAGATAGTATACACATACTGTATACATTAATAATATATTACACAAATAAATTGACTTTCAACTACAAACCTAATCTATTAAATCATATGCTTTATCATTTCAGCTTTGCTTTATCATTTTGTTTATGTTGCTTTATCATTATGTTTGCATATATATGCTTAGAAACTTCTAATAGACTTATATATAAATCATAACTAATTTATGAAGTATGGTATTAAAACAATCCTGCAAACTATGCAAAAAAAAATTTATCCAAACACCATAGAGTCATCTAATGTGACTGCTGCTTTTTTTGGGTTCACACAAAGTGCAATCTAATCAATAAGCATACATATAACATTATCTCCAATGACTCTTTAGAATGGTATTGCTTTGACTGTATTTCAAAAAATATACCATTTAGTACCCATTCTGTTCAAAAAATATACCATTTAGTGCCCATTCCAATCAAGAACTTAAGCTTACACTTTCATTCAAGAATTTTACACTAAAGTTATTAAAAAATCTTGAACCTCCTGCTCACCTATAAAGTCTATATACAAATATAAATAATGTATACATGATGTTACTGAATTTTTTAAATCCTGATACTGATATAAATCTTTATCTCAATATCCTTTCCTTACCACAACATATCAATGATCTCCATAGCCTTATTGGTACTCTTCACACTTCCCCTATAGTGATAGTAATTACTGAATCAAATTTATATATAAAAGACTCAAATATAACTGATATTATCATAAATGGATTTGAACAGAACATTTGACTTACTGAGTCAAAAGAAGGTGGGGCTCTTCTTTATCTAAGCTTTAATCTTAACTATGTAGTTTGTGATGATCTTACAATCTATGCCTCGAAATTTCTTGAATAAGTTTTTGTTGAAGCTAACAACTCTCATAAAACCAATACTTTAATTGGCTGCATATATCGTCACCCAACTTTAAATCCAAAAGAATTTATCGCAAACCATTTAATTCCTTTACTTAAGAAATTAAGTTATGAAAAAAAAAATTATATTAATAAGTGATTTCAACGTGAACTTAATTAATTATAGAGAATCTCCTACTGTTTCTAACTATCTCTAAACATTATGCTCTTGCTCGCTTCTCCCAACCATTATTCTTCCAACACATATAACTTCAAAAACATAAATTCTCATTGATAATATTTTTACAAACTCCTTTTTTTTTCTGGAGCAATCTCTGGCAATCTAAAAACTTCTATTTTAGATCACATTGACCAGAGTTTCTCTGTATTCCTAGTATTTCAGAGTCTCTCTGTATTCCTAGTATTTCAGAGTCTCTCTGTATTCCTAGTATTACTTAGAGTTTCTCTGTATTCCTAGTATTTCAGAGTCTCTCTGTATTCCTAGTATTTCAGAGTCTCTCTGTATTCCTAGTATTACTTAGAGTTTCTCTGTATTCCTAGTATTTC